GTGTCCTTGGTCTTCCCTCCCTAGACTCCCTGCTTTCACCTGGCCTCATCTGTCTCAGAGTCCCTACCCTGCCTATTATTAAGACCAGAAAGAGGCCAGGAGCAGTAATTAGTGCCTGTAATACCCACTATTCTGAAAGTGGATATCAGAAGGATTGAGGCTCCAGGTCAGACTGTGTACAAAGTATGGTGGTGTGTGCCTGTCAGCTATGCAGAAGGCAGAAGTAGGAGGATCCCATCCAGGCCTGACAAGGTAAAATTGGAGAGCTAGTCCCCAAAATAAAGCAAAAGGCGTTGAAGGTATGGTTACTTAGCAAGTAACTCCAGGCTCCGAGTTCAATCCTCAATACCACCACCAATTTTTTAAAAAAGAAAAAAAAAGTCTAGAAAGATCATAACTCCCCTTGCCCATCTTCTGAGAGGAAAAAGAAAAAAGAAAAAGCTTGGGTCCTGGAGCCCTGGCCAGGTGGGGCTCAAATTGCGCCTTTCACGAATTGGATATCGATATCAGCTGCTTAAGGCCAGCCTCATCTCAATCCCTGTGGGGTAATGCGTCATACCCTGTCCCAGCTTTGCCTTAACCAGAGGCCTCTACGACTGAACAAAGCCCCTTTTCCTCATAGGTAAGTCGATCAGCCTCAGGCTCCGCCCTCAGAGCCTGTCAATTACTTTATTGGGTCACGCCCCCTTCAGTTGCCTGTCCTATCCAGAAACGGCCCCGCCCTCTTGGTTCCTGTCACTCAAAGCTAGCTCGGCTCCACCTCCTCGTTTCCGGAACAACAACTTTCGTACCAACTGGCCGCAAGCTCAGCGCACTTTTCCTTATCCTAGACTGGAACCTGCGATCTGGACCCCGTTTACTCTCGACCTCGGTCCTGGACCGCTAAATTTCCCCCAAGCCTCATTCCTTTCTAGTCTGGAAATCCAGCTGCCTGGCGCTTCCCTTTGACTTCCCGCCCGGAAACCCGCAGGTTTTCGAGGAATCAAGCCTCCTCCCTGTCTGTCCGTCCTCCCGCTGGTTCCTGTCGCCATTCTCGCTCGGCCCTAGCACCCAGCGGCTCAGAAGATATTTTCTGAGCCATTATATTGTTAATGTGGCTCTGTGCCCTGCACTGGGTAGAAATGGACAATCAGGTGGACCGAGTAACCAGCTTCCCACCTGCTGGGACGCGGCGGGTGCCTGACAGGTAGTAAGGCCCCCTGGCCCTCTTCACTATTGCTAGAGGTTGTGGGGGAATCTTGGTCCATCCGGGTCAGTACCAAGCAGGGAGCTTCCTAGGATGCTCCTTTCACACTTTTTTTCTCTCCTCAGTTCCGGTCCCAGCCCAGGTTCACTGAGCCCCAGCTTTCGGCTAGGTCTTCCTCTGGCTTCCTTTTTCCAACCTTGTCAGGCCAGCAAGTATTGTAATTTAATAACACTAGGAAACTGTGGAAGAACCTTGCATAGCTTGGGCTAAACACAACCCCATCCCACCACACCAAGAAGCTCCTGCAGGGTTATGTATTTGAGAGTTTGCTATGTTGGTCTATAATCTAGTTATCTCTGTTAACTTCATGCTGACTGAAGACCTTCCTTCTGTTACCAAAAAGGCTTCAAGGACAATTTTTATTTCTCAGAACATTGCTGGTTTGTTTTGTGCTGAGGATCAAACCCTTGACCTTGCATATGCTAAGCATGCATTTGTACCACTGAGCTATACTCCCGTCTCAGCTCTTACACCCTTTTTTTAGGGGGGGTCCATTCGTGGGGCCTGAACTCTGGGCCTGTACGCTGTCCCTCAGCTCTTCAGCTCAAGGCTAACGTGCTACCATTTGAGCCATAGCACCACTCCTGGCTTTTTTTCTTTTTGCTTATGTGGTGCTGAGGAATCAAACCCAGGGTCTCATGCAAGCAAGGCAAGCGCTCTACCACTGAGCCACCTTCCCAGCCCCTAATTTGTTGTTTTTTTTGGTCGGTCCTGGGGCCTGAGCTCTGGGCCTGGGCGCTGTCCCTCAGCTCTTCAGCTCAAGGCTAGTGCTCTACCACTTGAGCCACAGCACCACTTCCAGCTTTTTTTCTTTTTGCTTATGTGGTGCTGAGGAATCGAACCCAGGGTCTCATGCAAGCAAGGCAAGCGCTCTACCACTGAGCCACCTTCCCAACCGGTCTTACATCCTTTTTATTTTTATTTTTTATTTTTTTTTTGTCGGTCGTGGGGGCTTGAACTCTGGGCCTGGGCGCTGTCCCTCAGCTCTTCAGCTCAAGACTAGCGCTCTACCACTTGAGCCACAGCGCCACTTCCGGTTTTCTGGTGGTTTATTGGAGATAGGAGTCTCACGGTCTCTCCTGCCCGGGCTGGCTTTGAACCGCGATCCTCAGATCTCAGCCTCCTGAGTAGCTAGGATTACAGGCGTGAGCCACCAGCGCCCGGCTACATCCTTTTTATTGTGCTAAAAAACACTTTAATGCAAAACTAACCATCTTAGCTAGGTACCAGTGGCCTGTATCTAGAATTGAGTCTGAGATCTCAGGATCAAAATTCAAATCCAGCCCAGGCAGAAAAGTCCATAAGGTTCTTTTTTGTTGTTGTTGGTCATGGGCCTCGAACTCTGGGCCTGAGCCCTGTCCCTTAGCTCTTCAGCTCAAGGCGAGCGCTCTACCACTTGAGCTAGAGCACCACTTCCAGTTTTCTGATGGTTTATTGGAGATAAGAGTTTTCACGGACTTTCCTGCCCAGGTTGGCTTTGAACCGTGATCCTCAGATCTCAGCCTCCTGAGTAGCTAGGATTACAGGCGTGAGCCCAGTTTCCATAAGCTTCTTGTCTTGAATTAACCACCAGAAGAGGAGCTGTGACTCAAATAGTAGAGTGCCATCCTTGAGCAAAACAAAAACAAAAAGCTGAAGACAGCATTCAGGCCCTGAGGTAAGCCCTAGTAATTGCACACACAGACACAGACACACATAATACACACAAAAGTTAATCATCTTAACTATTTTGAATGTACAGTTCTGTAGTGTTACATATATTTTCACATTGTTATGAGACATATCCCAGAACTTTTTCTTGGAAACCTGAAACTATGCCCATTAAACAGCTCATATCTTCACTGTGTGTGTGTGTGTGTGTGTGTGTGTGTGTGTGTGTCTGTGTGCCATTCCTGGGGCTTAAATTTAGGGCCTGGACACTGTCTCTGAGCCTTTTTGCTCAAGGCTAGCACTCTAATACTTGAGCCACAGATCTACATCTGGCTTTTTGGTGGTGAATTGGCAATAGAGTTTCACAGACTTAACAGCCTGAGCTGACTTTGAACTGTGGTTCTCAGATCTCAGCCTCCTGAGTAGCTAGGAGTAGCCACCATACCCAGCTTATATCTTCACTCTTAAACGCTCTCTCCCCCCCCACCCCCAGCACCTATCACAGTGCTTGATCTGTAGTAGGTACTCAAAACTTGCTGAATAAGGAATCTGAATACAAAAGTAAGCCACACTTATATGTTGATATTAGATAAGCTCACAAATTTAGTACTTCTCAGTCTGTTTTACATCTCATCAAACCTCAGAAAGTAACACATATATGAGAGAATCAAGACTCACAGCTCTGGTGATTTTCAGTGTGGATTATAGGGAGCCTGGCCTTCCCAGGGAGGCTTATCAGAATCTGAGGGAGTAATGTGGCTTAGATAATGTAATGCTTGTGCCTGGATATGACAGACAAGAGGAGGATGAACTTAGCTTTTGTCTTCTTTTTTTCTTCTTTGACCAGTCCTTGGGCTTGAACTCAGGGCCTGGGCATGTTTTCTTAGCCTTTTAATCCAGGTTAGTGCTCTATCACTTAGCTACAGCTCCAGTTCCAGCTTTTTGTGGTTAGAGATCAGAGCCTAATGGAATTTCCTGCCTAGGCTGGCTTTGAACTGGAATTCTCAGATCTCAGCCTCCTGAGTAGCTACACTTACAGGTGTGAGCCACTGGTATTGGAATCTCTTTTATGTGGCATTGGGGATAAACCCAAGAGCATGTAGTGGGAACTGTATGCTAATCAAGTGCTCTACCACTGAGGTACATTCCTGGCCACTTAATGTACTCTTAACTACTTCTGGGAAGTTTTAATCTAATTTCAACAATCCAGAGTTGTTCACAATGTGATCAAAAGGTATTATGGAGCTTATGGGGACTGGGAATAGTGATTGAGGATGGTGACGGAAGTCTGGATGTCAGATCTTCACTGATCAAGCCAGATGAGGTGATCAGAAACAAAGGAGAGAAAAAAGGCTACGGGACCCTTCTGTGCTCTTGGTTAGGTTGAGTCTCCTTGGCAAATTCCATTCCTTCATGTTCTGCCCCCTGGAGGCCACACAAGGTCTGTTGGACCAGACAGACCTGCTATCTCTGTCACTGGAAATCTGTGGGCCTTTGGGAGCCTCCATCCTGAAGAAGGGAACAGGTGGATGCATGGGGGTCTCATGAAGGTCCATAGTCATCCTTCCTGCCACCATCCTTAGGTGAGTATTAGGCGCCATTCTGGTGCAAAGGCCACAGAGCCGATGGGTCCCTAGCTCCCTGGCTCATACATTAAAGATGCAGAGGTGCCAAGATTGCTGTGCCACAAACATGAAGACAAATTTTTAATCCCGAGCAAGAAGATGCCTGGAGATGGTGGAGGGGGGGGAGAAAAATGAATTAGGTTTTTATTATGTGTTTTATTATGCTGTAATTGAACAGGATTAGGTGAGAATACAATATCTTTCTGATGCAGCTGGAGGTGAGTGAAGAGAAGCTGACAGCAAGCAGGATAGTGGGGAGCCAGGACTGCAGGACACAGGGATCCCCAGAGAGGGCTGAATGCCAGTGGCTAGGTGGGCCCAGCCCCGGCTTTGGGTTCGGATGGGGGAGGGGATTGTGATTGTTCAGGGAATGGAGTTAGCTACAGGTCTAGCAAATTCTAAAGGAGGCCAGGCTCAGGAATTAGAGGACTACAGAGCTTAGAAAGATGCTGTAGGGAGATACTGAGTCCCAGAGAAGGAAAGGGTGCAGTTATGAAAAGACCGGACCCCTCAGGGATCACTGGGATCCAAAGGTCCAGGAATTCACATTTGCTCCTAACATCTCTTTTGGGACGCTTAGGGCTTAGGCCTTGTAGGTGACTATTCTCATATGCTTACCCACATCCAGGCATCTTCTTCCTGGGGATTAAAACTTTGTCCCAGACCTGGCACCTCCACACTTTGAATTGTATGAATCAGGGAGCTAAGGAACAGCAGGTTCTGTGGACATTAAGGAGTACTCATGTTGTGCTCAGGGGTCATTTATTGCATGGGTACTCAATCCTTAGATCCATCTTTTTCAAATCCCACCTAACTCCTGTCTGCCTCTGAAGAATTCCTATCTATGCAGTTCTGAGCCAGCATTCCCCACCCCAGTCCCAGCACTGTACTCGCAAAAGGCCTCCCCAGGTAAAAGGCTCCTAGCTGTATCTCTGTGCTAGGCTGTAGGCGAGGGAGGTGAGCAAACCCTCCTCTCCCCTGGAACCATCCTGGTCTCCCAGAGCCCCAGTCCGGGCAGCTTCATTAAGGGAGGCTGCCAGCAGTCTCACCTGCTGTAGCGCCCTTGTGCTCCACCAGGGCCCAGCTCCTGGCGGTGATGGAGAGGCCCATTAGCTGCTTTTACCTTTAGGGCGGACTGGGCCCATCCCTCCACCTCCCAATTAGTATGTGAGAAACCGTCAACCAAGATTAATAGTTGCCAGGCTCCAGGGCAGGGAGATGAGCCCAGATTCAAAGCTCAGGCCAACACAGGCAGGCCTACCACCTGCAGCTACTATGTCTCTTTCCCCTCCCCTCAGTTGGTACCTCTGAGACTCTCAGGTGAGTCCAGCAATGGGATTTTGGGTGGCAGTGTTCCAGGTTATATCTAGGACTTGGGTGTGCTCCAGAGCAAGAATGACCTCGTGCTGGGGAAGAAGGTACATGCTCTCAACCAGATTCCTGCTTTTCTACCGACTTGGATTTAAGGACTTCCAATCTGAAATGAACTGACCATCACTTTTGACACTCATGGCCACCACCAAGTAAATTCCTCTTTGCTCATTGTGTCCTGGCTGATTTTTATTTGGGTTTGTTTTTTAGTCAGGGTATGACTCTGTAGTCCAGTCTTGTCTTAAACTCAAGATCCTCTTACCTCTTGAGTGCTAGGATTAGAGGCACATACCACCATGCCAGCCAACCTGGCCTGCTTTTCAGTATATGTACCATTTTTGCTTATTTGTGCAATTTTACATACATACACACACATATATATAATTGGGGGGGGTCCAAGATTGGGTCTCTTATTCAGTATCTAACACTTGCTCATTGGCTGATGCTCTACCATCTCAGCCAATGCCTTCAACCCCTGAGGAATTATATCATTAATGTCCAGCTCCCCAACTAGACTAAAGACCCCAGGGAAAAAGGGCCACAGTTTTGCTCCCCATGGGTTATAGTGCACTTGTGTGTTAAATGGATCAGTGTTCAACAGGCTTGCTCCCTTGTGTGTCTATTTGAACATCTGCTTTTTTTTGGGGGGGGGGGGGTCTGGTCGTGGGGCCTGAACTCTGGGCCTGGGCGCTGTCCCTCAGCTCTTCAGCTTAAGGCTAGCGCTCTACCACTTGAGCCACAGCGCCACTTCTGGCTTTTTTCTTTTTACTTATGTGGTGCTGAGGAATTGAACCCAGGGCCTCAGGCATGCAAGGCAAGCGCTCTACCACTGAGCCACCTTCCCGCCCTCGAACATCTGCTTTCTGTGAAGTCTCCTACTCCAGACTCATAGCACCTACATGCTTTCTTCTAACTCAGATTGTAACCCTAACATTTCCTTCTCCGGTTTTTTTTTTTTTTTTTTGTCGGTTGTGGGACTTGAACTCATGGCCTAGGCACTGTCCCTGAGCTTAATCGCCAAAGGCGAGTGCTCTACCATAGCTCTACAGTGCTGGACTTACTGCCCAGCTGGCTTTGAACCACAGTCCTCAGAATTCAGCCTACTGAGTAGCTAGAATTACAGGCATGAGTCACCAGTGCCTGGCTTCCTTCTCAGTGTAACGCCTTTTTCTCCTCCAGGACATAAACTCTTGGGCTGACTAGCCTCTGACTTGGCCTTTCCTCTCCATGGTAGAATGCTTTGGCAAAGACTCATACAGCTGCATCCCCAATGCCTACCAGCAGGAAGCCAGGCATTGCACATAGGATGGGGTCTGAGGGCTCAGGAGCCTAAAGGCTGTTTGAATTTTAGTCTTCCAAGGACTCAGAGCTACTGGCTAGTAATTCACACCTGTAATCCTGTCTAATCAGGAGTCTGAGGTCTGAGGATCACAGCCTGCCGGAGCAGGAAAGTGGGCAAATCCTTTATCTCCAATTTGCCAGAGGTGTAGCTGTGGTTCAGGCAGTAGAGCAACAACCTGAGGGACAGTGTTCAGGTCCTGAATTTAAGCCCTAGCACGTGTACACACGCACCGCACACGCGCACACACACACACACAAAGCAAAATGACTTGCCTGGGGTCACACAGAAGCAAAGCTAGGATGAAGATAACTTTCCTGTCTAATACGCTGGGTGGTTTTTTGTTTGTTTTTGCTAGTCCTGGGATTTGAACTCAGGGTCGGGACTAGTGCTCTACCACTGGAGCCACAGCACTACTTGCAGCTTTTTCAAAGTAGTTTATTGGAGAAAAGAGTCTCACAGACTTTCCTGCCCAGGCTGGTTTTGAACAGCGATCTTCAGATTTCAGCCTCCTGAGTAGCTAGGACTACAGATGTGAGCCACCAGCACCTGGCTTAGAACTAAATCTTAATTCCTTCTCTCCTTTGGAGGCTTAGAGATACCCTAGATTCTGTTAAAAGAATATTCTTCCCATTAAGTATTAACTCTGGTCTTTAATCCCAGCTCAGACAGAAGGATCACATGAAGGCTGTGGATGTGTTGTCTGGCACACACACAAAGCCTTGGGTTCAGTCCTCAGCACCACAAGAAAATTAAGCACAACTGAAAACAAAAGAATCAGTGGAGCTCAGGAGTTAAGGGTCCAGCCTGTACAACAAAAGTGAACCCCGTCTCCTTAAAATAATAATAACAAACCTCAGCGCTAAATTTCTCTTTCTTGGACATCAGTCTGGGGCACGTGAACTGTCTCTGGTCTCCCAACGAACACCCCAGTAGCATCAGGGGGAAATACTGATCTGGAATTAGAAACAAGAATGGAAGAGAACAGAAGAGAAAGTTCTCAGAGTGGAGGGCTGACCTGTTCTCCACCAGATCACACCCCTGCCACTTCGTTCAGGGGAGGGAGGGGGTGTGTTTAGGGATGGAGGTGGGGGCAAGATCGATGCATCACTGGATTTGAAGACCGCAGGCTTTCACCTTGCCGATAATGGGGTGAGCGGTGGTAAACTCTCTCCGACAGAGCGGGCTCCCCCGGCCTTAATGAGATAATCAATACTTGTTCTCGGCTTAATTTCCATCTAATTGCTCTTTAACGACGCCGGATAATGGGCCGCCTCCTGTGAGGAGGGAGCTGGCTGGGAATCCGACCCGTCTCGGACTCCCGCCTTTCCTCCCCCGGGCCAGCGGGGTGCCCCGGTGCAGGTAGGAAGGGGGCTCGCGGCCGGCCGGGCAGGTGGTGCCGGCTTCCCACCCACGTGCTGCGGAGCTCTCGGCCCCCACCCGGGCCACACCCGGCCTTGGATGCGGGATTCCGGCCAAGGCTCTCTATGTTGGCCTTGGAACTACCTACAGTGATGGGCGCCGGCACCGCAGCCCTCTGGACAAACTCTTTTACATTTCCCCTTCCCACCAGCGCAGGGGCCTGGTCCCGGGGGCCTTACGCTGTGTTCAGTACCCAGAGAAGTCTGTCTATGGGATGGCTGGGCCCTCTCCTGCAATGGTACCACAGCACCCAGCAAAGGAGGCCAGGGGAGTAAGAATGAGGAAGGCTGGTCCCTGTAGTCCCCAGACTCCTCTTGACCTCACCTCAACTTGGAAAGCCACTTCCCATCTACCTGTGTCAGCACCAAAAGCTACTGGAGGTTCCCTCCAAGGCCAGGCAAACCTCCTGGCTTCCAGGGAACTGACCTACCTATCCCAGTTCATCTCCCGCCCCCCCGCATTTTTGTTTGGGCATGGAACCCAGGGCCTAGACTAAGTGCTCTACCACTGAGCTACCTCCCCAGCCCCTCCTGTCTTCTCTTGTCAACCCTTAAGTTTTTTAGCCTCGGGAGACCAGATGCTGTGACCTCCTCACATCCTAACTTTCTGCCATTTGGGCACACACTCCCCTGTGCCTCAATGCTTGAACATGAAGTCTTTAAATCGTTCAAATATTTATTGAGGTTTGGTTCCAGCTGTGGCTGCAAATCAGATTAATAAAGATACAGTACTAGAAGCTGGTCACCAGTGGTTCATGCCTGAAATCCTACCTGCTCAGAAGGCTGAGATCTAGAGGATTGAGATTTGAAGTCAACCCCAGGCAGAAAAATCCATGAGACTTTATCTCCAAACAAGTCAACAAAAACCCAGGCTGAAGGTATGGCTCAAATGGAAGAGCACCAGCCATGAGAAAGTAAGCCAAGCAAGCATGAGGCCTCAGAGTTCAAGTCCTGGTACTGGCACAGGCACAAAGACAAAAGATAGTATACTAGTGTCAGAACAATATGAGCCTGGGCAGTGCCAGGTTCAAGTCTCTGTAGCTTACTGACCAGTATGACTCTGGGCAAACTTACCTAAGGATCTGAACCTCAGTTTTCTCATATAAAAAAAATAAAGTAAGCTGGGTGCTGGTGGTTCACACCTGTAATCCTAGATACTCAGGAGGCTGCTACCTAAGGATTATGGTTGAAAGCCAGTCCGGGTAGGAAAGTCCCTGAGACTCTTGTCTCCAATTATCTACCACAAACCCAGAGGTGGAACTGTGGCTCAGAGTGGTAGAGTGCTAGCCTTGAGCAAAAGAGCTCAGGAACAACACCCCGGCCCTGAGTTCAAGCCCCACAACTGACCAAAAAAAGAAAAAAAAAGTAAATCTGAAACAAACTAATGTATGAGACTTGCTTGCCACAGTGCCTGGCACAAAGTAACCATTTGTTAAATGACAGCTATTCTTACTATGACATGTGAGAGCTGAAGGAACCATCTGGTTTGAGGAACATAAACTAAGGCTAAACTCTAATTGGGAGACTTAAAAAAATTATTGTAAAGGTGATGTACAGAGGGTTATAGTTACATAAGTTAGGTAATAAGTATATTTCTTTTTGAACAGTGAAACCCCTCCCTCATTTTCTAGTGTTCCCCCTCCTGACTCCCTTAAGGGGGAATCTTCAATGAGGGAAGCAGGTTCAGTAGGGACTGTTGGTGCGCTGGAGAGGACCAGTACTCACCTTAAGTTGCTGTTGGATGGAACTGATTTATTATATTTTATTAGCAGGTATTAGTTGTACAAGGGAGGTGTCATTTGTGACATTTCCACACATGTAAATAATGTATCTCAATAAATCTCACCCATCTATCACTTTTTTCATCCCCCTCCTCCTTATTTATTTATTGGTGTGCATGCCAGACCTGATGTGATTTGAACTCAGAACCTGGGCACTGTCCCTGAGCTTCTTTTGCTGAAGGCTACCAGTTGAGCCACACAGCTCCAGTTCCAGCTTTTTCTGAGTAGTTTATTGGAGATAATGCCTGGGATGGCTTCAAACCTCAATCCTCAGATCTCAGCCTCCTGGGTAGCTAGGATTACAGATGTGAACCACTGGCGTCTGGCTCATATTTCTGTTTTCATACATGCAAATAAACTCCACAGGTCACAGTTGTTCTCATTCATTAGCTGTCTATCCTCTTGCTGGTACCACCAAGAGAACCTCCTCTTTCTTTCTTTTTTTTTTTTTTGGGTCAGGTCGTGAGGCCTGAACTCTAGGGCTGGGTGCTGTCCCTCAGCTCTTCAGCTCTCTACCACTTGAGCCACAGCACCACTTTCGACTTTTTTCTTTTTGCTTGTGTGGTGCTGAGGAATTGAACACAGGGCCTCAGGCATGCAAGGCAAGCGCTCTACCACTGAGCCACCTTCCCAGCCCATCATTCTTTTTTAAAGTGTACATTAATTGCACCAAGGAGTTACACTATGATATTTCAGACATACATGTATTATATTTTGTTTAGGATAACCCTCTATTGCTTTTTTTTTTTTTTGGTTGTTTGTGGGGCTTGGACTCTGGACTGGGCACTGTCCTTCAGCCCTGCAGCTCAAGGCCAGTGCTCTACCACTTGAGCCACAGCACCACTTCCAGTTTTCTGAGTGGTTTATTGGAGATAAGAGTCTCACAGACTTTTCCTGCCCGGGCTGGCTTTGAACCGAGATCTTCAGATCTCAGCCTCCTGAGTAGCTAGGATTACAGGCGTGAGCCACCAGCTCCCGGCTTCCTCTATTGCTTTTTATTTTCCCACTTCCCACAACTCTGTTGATCAACAGTTTAAATGGAGAGTCTTCATGTTGTCTTTATATTTTACTTGTAGCATATTTTATTTTGTACCATATTTTAAAATTACTTACCTCCAGCTCACACCTGTAATCCTAGCTATTCAGGAGGCTGAGATCTGAGCAGATCATGGCTTGAAGCCAGCCTGGATAGGAAAGTCTGTGAGACTCTTATCTTCAATAACTACTCAAAAAAAGCCTGAGGTGGTACTATAGTTCAAGTGGTAGAGTGCTGGCCTTGAGCAAAAGAAGCTTAGGGTCTGCATCCAGGCCCAGAGTTCAAGCCCCAGGACCAATAAAGAGTAAAAATAAAATAATTCACCTTCCATCTTTCTTTTTCCTTCTCTTATCCTCCTACATAGCCCCATAGACTCCTGTTCTATGTACGTGTATATCTATATACCTATACCATATATGTATGTGTGTGTCTTTACCTGTCTATGAATATGCACGTTTTTTAGGTCTGGCTTCTATAGGAACTGATTCATTTTTGTGTGTTGTTTGTTAAAGCAATCTGACAGCATCAGCAGTTTAGATATTACCTCTGATTTTTCCTTACTTCCCTAACTCAGTTCAGTACCTCCTCAAGACCTCTTTAAATGTATTTGCCTAACAGTTCTGACCACTGCATTCTAGATTTGTTTTTTTTACACAAAACTTCTCAATGTTTCAATATTGGAAATTTAGTAAAAACTAAAAAACACTGTGCCAAGTACAATGTATCTAAGGTTCATCTTATTTCTCAGAAGTAGTTTCAGATGGATGGTGGCTGCTGACACAGCTGAGCCTGGAAGCCCAGTTTAAGTGGAAACAACCACTTCTCCTAGGCCCTTCCTAGACTGTGGGGCCTCTTTAGCTCCACCCACTGCAGATGCTGCCCCATTTATATAGTCCCTGGTGTCTGGGCCAGTGACAGCACTTGCAGCTCCAGAAATGCAAGATCTGGGTCACAAACAGTCTTGTTTCTTGCAAAAATACATCCATATACTTTTTGAATTTTGTAAAGACAGCAATTCAAGTCCCAGGACACAGGAGATCTCAGCACGCACTCTCTCTGTCTCTGTCTTTCTCTCACTCTCTCTTCTACCTTCTTTGAGCCACAATTCCACTTCTGGCTTTTCCCTGGTTAAATGAAGATAAGTCTCGCAGACTTTACTGCCCTGGCTGATTCTAAACCATAATGCTCAGATCTCAATCTCTTAAGTAGCTAGAATTATAGGCAAGGGCCACCAGTGTTTGGCTATCACTTCCTAATTAAAAGCTCCATTTTCCTACTATATTTCTGAGGCCATCAATTCAGTTTGATTCAATATGTCTTCCTTTTGCATTCCCCTAGTCAGGGATAGAGTGAGTAGGTTTGCTGGCCATAGTTCTGCTTGCTACCTTCCTCCTCCTCCTCCTCCTCTTCCTCCTCCTCCTCCTCCTCCTCCTCCTCCTCCTCCTCTTCTTCTTCTTCTTCTTCTTCTTCTTCTTCTTCTTCTTCTTCTTCTTCTTCTTCTTCTTCTTCTCCTTCTTCTTCTCCTCCTCCTCCTCCTCCTCTTCCTCCTCCTCCTTTTTCTTCTTCCTTCTCCTTCCTGCTCTTCCCTTCTTCTTCCTCCTCCTTCCTCCTTCTTCTTCCTCCTCTTTCCTCCTCCCTTCTTCTTCTTCCTCCTCCTCCTCCTTTTTTTTTTTTTTTTTTGCCAGTCCTGGGGTTTGAACTCAGGGCCTGAGCATTATCCTTGGGTTCTTTTTGCTCAAGGCTAGCAGTCTACCACTTGAGCCACAGCACCACTTCTGGCATTTTCTGTTTATGTGGTGTTGAGGAATTGAACCCAGGGGCTTTGTGGATGCT